TATTAGCAATTAATTAACAAGATTAATTTGTCGTAGAATTGTGGTTTCCTCGAATCGAATGCCATTTGGTTAATCGAAAGTGTATGTAACGAGTATTGTGTATTTGTATGTGCACAAGGGAGCTTGACGTTTGCGCCATGTGAAATTAAAATAAAGAGGTTAATCAATTCAGTTACCTTTGAATTCATGTCCATGCTCTGATTTCCTTTCTGTTTAAAATCAACAAAACAATTATTTTTTTACCACGACGCGCGTCACATTAAATCATTTCAATGTTTTAAGACATTAAATGTTAAAGATTAAGGAAATCAAGAAGGAAGAATGTCGGAAAGACAAAGCAAAGAACGTGAAATGAAAATGCAATTAGAGACAAATAACAGAAAAACACTATAAATACTGACAATATTGATCAGGTTCAATCTCTTATTGTTTTAAGTGCTTCTGTCTCATTAATTGTAAATAAAGTAATAAATAAAAAAAAGCATGTTATCTTGCATACCCCCCCCCCCCCCAAAAGAAGTGCTTCTGTCTCCCATTAATTAAATATGCCGTGACGTCATAAAGTAACGGCACAATTAATCAGATGAGGATATATGTTATTTAAATGAAGTAGCCACAAAAAACATTAATAACCGTGAAACATGAGATACAAAACACTCAACTCGTTGCGCAACATTGTTGCTTTTCAAGTTTGGTGTACACGCTTTTCGTTTTTCACCATGTCCGGATCCTGCAACGTGTCACGCACCGAAAAACTGACCATAACAAGACCAATAAGAAACACTGAGCCCAAAACTGCACAGCAACAATGTTCCACGACAAATTGAGTTATTTTTTGTATCTCCGTTAGGACATTTAAAACTTTGGGCATGAAAAAAAGAATCCAATTCGTATATTAGACCCTCATATATTTCCGCGTAACTGTCGGTCTGAGTGCGGTGAAAAATTTCGGGGGCTTTTGGTACAAGATTGTAAATAATCGGCACTCCAAATGACAACATGTATATCGAATCAGTTGTAAAGCTGTAAAGAAGCTTGAGTATCCAATCTGACTTAACTACTTACCAAAGATGTGAATCATGCTTGCCAACTCTTTCTTCAGCTTACTCAGCTCTTCCTTGATACCGCTGACGACTTCATCAAGGATAAACGGCTGATCACTCTCCGTACCCTTCACTTGAATATCTGACGGCAAAAAATTCAGAATTATTTTAATACCAACTTGAAAGAAACATTAAATTGTTTGAATACCACTTTTTTCTAGTGTTTGTCATTTGGTGATGATTTTTTTAACCCTCCCAGTGTATTTTTTTGTGTGTGCATGTTAATTGAAAAAAAAAGGAAAAAAAACCTCCAGTGAAATCCTGGATACATGTGTGTTTTTTTGTTTTGTATTGCTCATCAAGATTTCTGGAGATTGCATAACTACCGTATTTACTCGAATAGACGCCTCCCCCGAATAGACACCGCCCTCAAATAGACGCCGCACTTAAAGCTCAAAATATTAATAGACGTCGCCCCCGAATAGACGCCGCATCTGGGTGCGGCGTCAATTTGAGGAAATAATGATGCCAGCAATGGGAATTTATTTTCGTTTAGAACATCTTTTATTTCGAAGTGATTGTACTTTTTTGCTCTCAGCAGCTGTTAGATTCCGACCACGAGGAGGACATTGATGTTGAAATAGAAGTTGAACTCTGGTTAAAATCATAAATTGAATAGACAAAATGAACACGACATTTATATATTGAGAATCGTTACTGTTTGTTAGCAAAAAGATACAATAAAAAGTACGGTATGTAGTACCGAATAAAATCTTTTTTATTAAACGCCGCCCCCGAATAGACGCCGTCCTCGAATAAACACCGCACCTGGATCGTAAAAAATGAAATAAACGCCGCGGCGTCTATTCGAGTAAATACGGTATTCCCATATATATAAAGAATACTTCTTACCATTGAATTGAAGCAGCACTCGATCCAGGGTGTCAACATGGCTATCTACTTGTGATTTTAGTTCTGTAACATCAGAAACAGTCGGCAGATCCTCTGGTAGTAAAGGTCTGACCTCCCGTAGAAGTGACATCAATGGTTCCATTAACCTTCTCTCAGATCCACCATGTAACTTTGATGTGGCTTGTTCCAAATAATCTTTTGCTATACGAGACGCTATGGACAATATGACTAATGTCGCTTCAGATGAGAGTTTGTTGCCAGCCTTCAGTTTCTTTAATGCAGCAGTCATCATGTCAATCACTTCGACTATATCGTAGAATCGCACATCACGTTTTGCAACCGAAGCTACCATGGCTTCAAGATGTGACTGTAATCGTGAAGTAATATCAGAAGACTGTGGGAGTAGAGATGWCATCGYAAGTATAATAGATACGGCGTCAGTTAGTACTTCACGTACGCCATGGTCAAGGGCTCTTTCAGACACTAATTTCATCAGCTCGTCCAAACACGAAAGGACATGGTTCTGCAAATCACTGTTAAGATCAGTCCAATTAATCTTCTTCAAAATAGTTTCACTGATGCAAAGTATACCTTTAAAAACGTCATTACTGATCTCAGGATGTTCAGATAAATGCCGAATTACAAGTTTAATCATACTTTCCAGATCTGACGTCACCTTGTTTTTAATACCATCATCAAGTTCATCCCATGGTAGTTTCTCCAGTACCTTAGTGTTTTCCTGCATCACTTGAATCAATGCATCAGTGCTCAGGTCAGGATGCTTAACAAGTTGCTCAGCAATCCAAGTCGTCAAAGTTTCTATATCTAAGATCAGCCTTGATTTACTAACATCGTCAAGGTTTTTCCATGGCAATTTTTGCAATACTTTGGTATTTTCCTGCATCACTCGAATCAATGCATCAGTGCTCAGGTCAGGATGTTTAACAAGCTGCTCAGCAACCAAAGTCGTCATAGTTTCTATGCCAGAGGTCAGCTTCATTTTACTTCCATCATCAAGGTTATACCATGGTAGTTTCTCCAGTACTTTAGTGTTTTCCTGCATAATTCGAATCAATGCATCAGTGCTCAGGTCAGGATGCTTAACAAGTTGCTCAGCAACCCAAGTCGTCATAGTTTCTATGCCAGAGGTCAGCTTCAGTTTACTACCATCATCAAGGTGATACCATGGTAGTTTTTGCAATATCTTGGTATTTTCCTGCATCACTTGAATCAATACATCAGTGCTCAGGTCATGATGTTTAGCAAACCGCTCAGCAACCGAAGTCATCATAGCTTCTATGCCAGAGGTCATCTTCATTTTACTACCATCATCAAGGCCATTCCATGGTAGTTTTTGCAATATCTTGGTATTTTCCTGCATCACTTGAATCAATACATCAGTGCTCAGGTCANCCTCCCAGTGTATTTTTTTGTGTGTGCATGTTAATTGAAAAAAAAAGGAAAAAAAACCTCCAGTGAAATCCTGGATACATGTGTGTTTTTTTGTTTTGTATTGCTCATCAAGATTTCTGGAGATTGCATAACTACCGTATTTACTCGAATAGACGCCTCCCCCGAATAGACACCGCCCTCAAATAGACGCCGCACTTAAAGCTCAAAATATTAATAGACGTCGCCCCCGAATAGACGCCGCATCTGGGTGCGGCGTCAATTTGAGGAAATAATGATGCCAGCAATGGGAATTTATTTTCGTTTAGAACATCTTTTATTTCGAAGTGATTGTACTTTTTTGCTCTCAGCAGCTGTTAGATTCCGACCACGAGGAGGACATTGATGTTGAAATAGAAGTTGAACTCTGGTTAAAATCATAAATTGAATAGACAAAATGAACACGACATTTATATATTGAGAATCGTTACTGTTTGTTAGCAAAAAGATACAATAAAAAGTACGGTATGTAGTACCGAATAAAATCTTTTTTATTAAACGCCGCCCCCGAATAGACGCCGTCCTCGAATAAACACCGCACCTGGATCGTAAAAAATGAAATAAACGCCGCGGCGTCTATTCGAGTAAATACGGTATTCCCATATATATAAAGAATACTTCTTACCATTGAATTGAAGCAGCACTCGATCCAGGGTGTCAACATGGCTATCTACTTGTGATTTTAGTTCTGTAACATCAGAAACAGTCGGCAGATCCTCTGGTAGTAAAGGTCTGACCTCCCGTAGAAGTGACATCAATGGTTCCATTAACCTTCTCTCAGATCCACCATGTAACTTTGATGTGGCTTGTTCCAAATAATCTTTTGCTATACGAGACGCTATGGACAATATGACTAATGTCGCTTCAGATGAGAGTTTGTTGCCAGCCTTCAGTTTCTTTAATGCAGCAGTCATCATGTCAATCACTTCGACTATATCGTAGAATCGCACATCACGTTTTGCAACCGAAGCTACCATGGCTTCAAGATGTGACTGTAATCGTGAAGTAATATCAGAAGACTGTGGGAGTAGAGATGWCATCGYAAGTATAATAGATACGGCGTCAGTTAGTACTTCACGTACGCCATGGTCAAGGGCTCTTTCAGACACTAATTTCATCAGCTCGTCCAAACACGAAAGGACATGGTTCTGCAAATCACTGTTAAGATCAGTCCAATTAATCTTCTTCAAAATAGTTTCACTGATGCAAAGTATACCTTTAAAAACGTCATTACTGATCTCAGGATGTTCAGATAAATGCCGAATTACAAGTTTAATCATACTTTCCAGATCTGACGTCACCTTGTTTTTAATACCATCATCAAGTTCATCCCATGGTAGTTTCTCCAGTACCTTAGTGTTTTCCTGCATCACTTGAATCAATGCATCAGTGCTCAGGTCAGGATGCTTAACAAGTTGCTCAGCAATCCAAGTCGTCAAAGTTTCTATATCTAAGATCAGCCTTGATTTACTAACATCGTCAAGGTTTTTCCATGGCAATTTTTGCAATACTTTGGTATTTTCCTGCATCACTCGAATCAATGCATCAGTGCTCAGGTCAGGATGTTTAACAAGCTGCTCAGCAACCAAAGTCGTCATAGTTTCTATGCCAGAGGTCAGCTTCATTTTACTTCCATCATCAAGGTTATACCATGGTAGTTTCTCCAGTACTTTAGTGTTTTCCTGCATAATTCGAATCAATGCATCAGTGCTCAGGTCAGGATGCTTAACAAGTTGCTCAGCAACCCAAGTCGTCATAGTTTCTATGCCAGAGGTCAGCTTCAGTTTACTACCATCATCAAGGTGATACCATGGTAGTTTTTGCAATATCTTGGTATTTTCCTGCATCACTTGAATCAATACATCAGTGCTCAGGTCATGATGTTTAGCAAACCGCTCAGCAACCGAAGTCATCATAGCTTCTATGCCAGAGGTCATCTTCATTTTACTACCATCATCAAGGCCATTCCATGGTAGTTTTTGCAATATCTTGGTATTTTCCTGCATCACTTGAATCAATACATCAGTGCTCAGGTCAGGATGTTTAGCAAACCGCTCAGCAACCGAAGTCATCATAGCTTCTATGCCAGAGGTCACCTTCATTTTACTACCATCATCAAGGCCATTCCATGGTAGTTTTTGCAATGTATTTGTGTTTTCCTGCATTACTTGAATCAATACATCAGTGCTCAGGTCAGGATGTTTAAAAAGTTGCTCAGCAACCGATGTCATCATAGTTTCAATACCTGAGATCAACTTCAGTTTACTACCATCATCAAGGTGATACCATGGTTGTGATCCCAATACCTTTGCATTTAACTGCAACATTTGCATCAGAACATCAACATGTAGCTCAGGATGGCTGATTATTTTCTTTGACAACTCTGACATTAGCCTCTCAGCCAATTCCACTGTGTCTGGTGCTTTCTTGATTAGATCAGCTGTCAGCTGTTGAAAAACCTTWAACAATTCTTCTGGTTTGCTTTCCCACAAAGGATCTAATTGATTACTGAGAAACTCTTGCTCTGCAAGCAGTTTTGATGTTACTTCGTYCAACTTGCTCTTCAAACTCACATTCTCCCTGTTCACTTCTTCACGTTCATGTTGGATTCTTTGTAATTCGCTCTGTAACCGAACAATCCTTTCACTTACTAATGGTTGTTTCTCGTTCTCAAGGATGTGTAGCTCACGTGCTAGCTCGGCAACTTTCTTTTCTGCTTTTCTCCTTTTGTTTCCTTCTATCCTTGATTCGTTGTAGATTTCTCTAACGTTAATCCAATCGCTCCAGGCCARMYCGGTCATKGTRRYTCTGGGTAAATCCATGTCACATGACGAGTGCCTATGTTCTCTGCCTACAGAGGAGCTCTCTTCAGTCGGTTTGTATCGATCTTTGAAATATGAACAAAACATGTAAGTACCATTATTATATTTCAAAAAACAATAATGTTTTCACTGATGGTAATGACTTTTCATGTGATTAATTACTAGACCGATATTACCGTGAAAAACTTAGCAGCTTATGACATATAAGCGAAAACTTGCGGTAAAATTTACATCCGATTATTATTAACGAGTAAGAGCGTTATTGAAAGCGAATCAGCATCTAGTATATATAATCACGTAGTTCGCTGGGTGTGCAGAACACGGTTCGTTGGTCCAATTCTCAGACGGATTTTAGCGTAAAAATTTTCGGAGTAAGTTACTTGAACGTCAAAATAAAGGCAAAATCTGAGGAAAACTGAAAAGTAATCTAGAACGCGCTAAAACCTTATGAAAAGATCGAATGTTTGAGGAAACTAAGTTAATTTTATTAGGAGAAAGCACAAAAATACAAAATTCCAAAGCTATTTTTTTTTGTTATGGAGCAAAACACATGCGAAATATTACAACATGCACAAAAGTACAAAATGAAATATTTGTTTACAAATAGAATTTTTATGTTCACTCCCTAGTTTATTGTAGCTTATATCTTATCAATATGGTGTAGTTGTTGGATTA